GGCAATGAATGTACAAGTGCGCCTTACACAATTGATGTATGTATGAATTGTGATAAGAGTTGTATGAGCCCCTAATAAAATGATTAGAAAAAAAAAAAAGAAAAAATCCTTCTATTAGTGATTTGTAATTTAAAAAAACTGAATAAAGAATGAATATGTGTTCTCAAAACAAGAGAAAACAAAATAAAATCCTCACTCCCAAGTCATGGATAGCCCTGGTGACATAGTGCTTACACATTGCACTGTTAACCGCAAAGTCAGCAGTTTGAAACCACCAGCCGCTCTATGAGGAAAAGGCAAGTCTTCTGTCCTATAAAGAATCGCAGCCTCCGGAAACCCACAAGAGCAGTTCCACCCTGCCCTATAGGCTCACTATAGGGTCGTTATGAATATGTATACAGATCTATCAAATGTTAATGTGATACTAATAATCACCTGGGGAATCTTTTTGAAATACAAATTCTGGTTTAAAAGAACAAAAAGAATATCCAAAGGTGTATGTGTTATGTATTGGCCTGTTAACCTCAAGATCAGCAGTTCGAAACCAACAGCTGCTTCACAGGAGAAATAGGAGCCTTTTGCTCTCAGAAAGATGTAGAGTCTCGGAAAACCACTGGGTACTCGTACTCTGCCTCACAGGATGGCTCCGGTCAGACTCAACTCGATCCACGCATTGGCCGTGAGTAGGATATGGCCAAGAGCTACATTTCTAGCAGAAGTAATGATGATGCTGTTCGACAGACCACCTTTGGAATGCAAAGGTATATAGAATATAAACATATCGGTGTGAAAAATGCATAGGAAAATAGGGCCCCAAAATATATCAAAGCATTAATGCTATTGAGTTGGGACTACCGATGAGGGATTTTTAAATATATATATATATATTTACTAGAGTTTCCAAATTTTTAATATTAAAGGAATGCCTTGAAAAATTGGCATTAAAAAGGAATGTTTTAATTTTGTTCTAAACATTACTGAAAGCAGGCTAGTAACGAACCTGCTGACGAGGCCACTCATGCCGCCTGGTCAAGAACCAAACCTTTGGTGTTTGCTCCTCCTTTCTTTGACTATGTCCTCCATACGAGTCTCTCTCGCTCGCTCTCTCTCTTCCAAATGATTTCACGTTTTAAGTAAAGGAAAAAAAGTAATCAAAAATTTTTTTTCATTTTCTTCCTGCACCTAGGGCCCTCGTTTCTACCACCTACCTGCTCCAATCAGGTGAAGGTCAGAGTCCAGCGGGGCGGGATTCTGTGTTCCTTGTGGTGCTTCTCCGCACCCCTACGACGCTGAGTGCCTGACAGTAGACACTGGCCCGACTTCAGAGGCATAATTGGATCCATCATTAAACTCACAGTCACGGTGACTCACTTCAGTCGAACAAACAAGTGAAACTTTGGTTTAAAAGTGGTTGTAAGGAACAGCCAAGAGAGTTGGAAAGAGTCTGCGTGAGGCTCATTATATTAACTCCCTGGGGACCGCTTGCCCCACCAAGCTAGAAAGAAGGGGAGATCCCTGAAGAAAACAAAGCTGCCAGGCGTATCTTTCAGCACCGAGGCCACCTCCGTGAAGATAAGCGTTTATGCCACAAGTCGCTTACCCACTGGCTCCTGGAGCCCACAGACCACAGACGACCTCATGGAGGCTGGGCCCGCAGAGGGGGAATTAAACATCTTTACCCATCAGAGTCTCTCCACGAGTCCAAGAGGAGGGTGAGAGATCGTTCCAAATGACAACTGTGAACATTTCAAAACATTCTAGACGCATCCGATCTTCTGAGTGATGATACCAAATCTAAAGGAACCATATTCTGACTCTGAGTAACTCAGGGAATTCAGCTGCTCATTCGGAAAGCTTTGGAAAAAAGACAATTCATAAGAGACGAAGATATAGCATCTTCAACCCAGCCGCATAAGATTTGGGTTGCGATATTGAGCCCAATATTGCAACCCAAGGAAATATCCATGAAAATCGGATATCCTCAGCAATCCGGTAAGTAGCACATTTTAGTGGCCCGATAAGGACTTTCTCAAAGGGTTCCTAGATACCTACCCAGAGACTGATAGGCCAACCTCCCCCTCAGTGATGCAGGGGACAGCAGAGCAGCCCTCTACCTACTGGCACTGTATTTTCATAGGCTGCAGTCTCAGAAAGCCACGCAGCAGTTTCACCCTGTTCTGGAGGCGGTATGAGTCAGAAAAAGGCTTGATGGCAGGGAGTTTGCAGTTTTGAAGTCCTGGCATATTGAGGACCGGCCTTGGGTTCCCCTTCAGCCCCACCATCCAGGCCAATGATGGACCACAGCAGGAGCGAAGTCAATATTGTTTCATCAGAAGCATTAAGTTACTCACTAACCCCGAGGAATTTAACCTGGTCTCAATTACACCACTTTTTTTTTTTCTCTATCTTGTGCTTTATGTAACTGTCCCCTGGAAAAACCCAAAGGTCTGGACAGTATTGAATCTGGCTGGAATTCTCAATATCTTTCCTTAGAGGAGAAAGACTGCATCTTCCTTCCTTCAGCTGGTGGGCTTCTGTTTGAAAGAGCTACAGCTTTGCACTGGCGACAATGTCTTTTCATGGTCTACCCTGCTCAGCTCATGATCCACTGCAAACTCCCACTGGCCTGCCCGCCCACTCACCTCCAGCTATTCTCAATCATAGTCTTTGGTCCTATCTGCCTCTGAATGGAGCCCATCAAGAACTTCACCCAAGTCGTTCTTGCCCTATTAGTTCCTGATGCGATTTCTGGGAGTCACAGTCATGATAAATTCTGCTTTAGGGCCATTTATGTCGCCTGCTCAGGAAAGAGCCAGATAACTTTCTTAGCCATGCGGGGACCACTTGTTCAGATTGCTTAGGAAGCAGATGGTAGAGTCTAAAAATAACTTCTGAAGAATAGCTCTCATTATATATTCCAGGGCTCATTAAGTGCTTGTGTTCTTTAATAATCGTCACTAGTTTATGCAATTACTATGAGTTGTGTAGCCTGAATGACTCCAGAAGGGCCAATTTATAGAGTTCCGTTTTTCATCTTCCCCAATAATGCCATTTTCATCCCCTGGAGCCCACCAATCCTAGCGCCTCCTTCCCTCAGGTACAGTTTTGGCCAGTCTGATTCTTTGGCACTGGCAAACGACTACCGCTACAGATATGCCAGTAAAGAAAGTGGTAGTTGATATGCTTAAGGAAAGACGTCGAAGAATGCGGACTTTTAAAAAGAGAACTGCTACAGATTCGGGGTTTTGATTTTGTTTCGTTTTCCAGTCCGGAGTCCTCTAGCACACCCACCCGGACTTGTGTCTGTTCACTGACGGACACTCTGACAGGCGGCTGTACTGAAGAGGGCCCTGTAGGGGGTGGTTATAGGGAGAGACCTCGACCTCCTGATAAGGGAAAACAAGCTCTCTTCAACTATGCCCATTTAGGATGACTCAGCATGCCAACTCCACAAGGTTGCTGGCCTCTAGGAAATACTACATATGTCCCACATTCTCACTCTCCTGCGGGTCAACATCCACCAAATGACTCTCTCAGGTGCGGGAGGCGTTATTCATTCACTCAACAAGTCTTCCTGAAAGTGGTTGTTTAAAGGAATTTGGTCTAGTGGCTGTAGAAAACACTGAGATCAATAAAGAAATGTTTGACTCAGAAGCAATGAATTAAAGATAACTAATATGGTTTTTAAAATCAATGAGATGTCATAAACTCATGGAAGAGACAGATGGAAGATGCATTCATTCAAAAGAGAAGATCTCATAAGGGAAAAACGTATTTGTTGAAGAGACTTTCAAAGGTTGAATAGAAATAGAAAGGCTGCTCATTGCAACCTGAAGAAAATACAATTTGCACAAGCATGGGTGCAGGGCGTGGACAGGAACTGAGCGAATTGCAGCCTAGTGTAGCTCAAGTCCAGGGTCTGTGACAGACTGTAATGAATGGTAAACCTGGAACTATCATTTGGGAACAGACCCATAATAACCTTGGATATGAGAAATAAATCCATTTTTATTTAGGCAGGTAGGACTTGGATTTCCCTCTTTAAATTACGAGAATTGTGCTTTTCTCCCATGTATTTCTTCCCTCTTGTTTACTAATCTAAAGATAGGAAAGCGTGTGCAACTGGACCATGAGCAAGGTAGAAATCTCTCAGGCAAGGAAAAGGCAATCATTTCCTAACGCAAACCATGGAAACTTGGCAAGAGAGCATGGGCTGGGCTCTTGTAGGATGAGTCCACACACACACACACACACACACTGCCATCAAGTCAGTTCTGCCCTCAGGTGACTCTGACCCTGTAAGACAGACTAGAACTGCCCTGGGGAGTTTCCAAGGGCAAATCTTCACAGGAGCAGAAAGTCAGCCTTTCTTCCACGAAGGGACTGCTGGTTTCCAAATGTGGGCTCTGAGGTTGGTAGCCCTCGGTGTGATCCACGACACCTCAGAGGGTCGTGGTTGTGCAACAGCAATCAAGTTGGCATGCATTTTAAGGCAGTTAACCTCAGAAATTGCACTTGGTGGTAAAGTCTAAGCGAAGTAGAAAGAGTACCACCCTCAAAGATAAACTACTTGTGGGGAAAGACTCAAGATTGCAGGAAAAGATAAAACTACAAGGTATTGAAAACAGACTTTGGCAGGGCAAAAGAATCGTTGAGGCACCAGGACTCAGAATTCAGTTCAAAAGGGAAGGGTGGTCAATTTTTGCTTTTGGGCCATCCTTGGGTCACCCGCCCATCACTACTTCCTGGGCCAGCTCACAAAACAAGAAGCAGGTGCTCTTCAAATCCAGCCTAGGAGTCAGAGCAGGTAGGAAAGCACGCCCTTCCCTCAGGTAAACAGTTCCTTCACCCAACATCCCCACTCAGCCTCTCTCCTCTCGGTTCCAGGCTGTCCTCAGATGCCCAGAGCCTCACAGCTCGCGATGCTCCACACCTCTGACTGGCCCTCCCCCGCGGGGGGCAGAGACGCCAAGGGGAACAGCACCACTGTCACGGAGTTTGTCCTGCTGGGGCTCTGCGATGCCTGTGAGCTGCAGCTGCTCATCTTCCTGGGCCTCCTCCTGACCTACTTCCTCACGCTGCTGGGGAACCTCCTCATTGTGGTCCTCACCCTCGTGGACAGACGCCTCCACACCGCCATGTACTACTTCCTCCGCAACTTTGCCGTCTTGGAGATCTGGTTCACCTCCGTCATCTTCCCCAAGACGCTGGCCAACATCCTGAAAGGAACTAAGACCATATCCCTACCAAGCTGCTTCCTCCAGAGTTTCTTCTACTTCTTCCTGGGCACCACCGAGTTCTACCTCCTGGCCGTGATGTCCTTTGACAGGTACGTGGCTATCTGTAACCCCCTGCGTTATGCCACCATCATGAGCAGAAGGGTCTGTGTCCAGTTGGTCCTTTCTGCATGGATGACAGGATTCCTCCTCATCACTGTTCAAAGTTTAATTACGTTCCAGCAGCCATTCTGTGGCCCCAATATCATCAATCATTTCTTCTGTGACAACTTTCCACTCCTGGAACTCATATGTGCAGACACGAGTCTGATAGAACTTCTGGGCTTTGTGACAGCCATCTTCAGCTTACTGGGCACTCTGTCCGTGACAGCGACTTGCTATGGCCACATCCTCTACACCGTCCTGCGCATCCCCTCTGCCAAAGAGAGGCAGAAAGCCTTCTCAACCTGCTCCTCCCACATCATTGTGGTGTCTCTCTTCTATGGCAGCTGCATCTTCATGTATGTGCGGTCGGGCAAGGGGGGCCAAGGGGAAGACAGAAGCAAGGTGGTGGCCCTGCTGAACACTGTAGTGACCCCAATGCTCAACCCCTTCATCTATACCCTGAGGAACAAACAGGTGAAGCAGGTGCTTAAAGAGCAGGTGAGCAAGCTGCTTTCATAAAGATGTGGAACCCAGAGGCTGAAGCTAATGTTCCCAGACAAGCCAGGAGAATACCAAGCCCTGGGAAGAAGTTCCGTCTTTCCCTTTCAGACAAAGCTCTGACGATATTTGCACTGTGGTACAATGGGGCTAGTCAATGTGCAGCTCGTGATAAACCCAGAAGCTCTCTGCTCCTGGGCCACTTTTACTGGACATCA